TGGCCTGCTTTCTGGTGGAACTTCTTCTAACCGGTTTGATAGATTTGACGAACCGGTTCTACCGAACTGGTGTGAACTGGTAGGAACCCATCTCTGCTCTGGACTTGTCCCTATCTGTCCTATCTGCTCCCCACTGCTCTGCTGATGATTACAGTTTCAGAGGGTGCTTGGTGGAATTCTTGAGTACCTCACTGTGGTAGGTCAATTAAAAACCTCCTAGATTCACTTGAGTTTTGTGGAAGTTCTCTGGATTTGGCTGAGTTATGGGGTGATTTGGTTATCTACAAAGAATAGTTGTCCTTATTGACAATGAAGAACTGAATAGACAGTGGAGCTGTAACCTCATCAGCCTATATTTTAGGATGCTCCTTCTTGTGGGTTAAGATCTTCCTACAAGTGACATATGGTTGAGTTCAAGTGATGGTGCATTCTTCCTGGAGAGAACGAATGGTTCCATATGTGGCTAAGGAGGCAGTGGCCTGGCAGTGGTTAAGGAGGAAGGGAAAATTGCTGAGTAGATGAAAAGGATTATCAATATCATTTTCAGTTAGGTTCAAAGCTGGGCATAGTATGGGTACAATATTGGTTATCTTTGCTGAAAATATCAAAGACATTAAATATCTTAAATGCAGGGTATGGGACTGGTGTGACTCACTGGAGGAGGAGTTTTTTCTTGGCACTTATCTGTTTGCACCTGGTTGCTTTGGTGTATAGTTTTATACTTTGATTATGGATTTTAATTGATCTCTGCTATTTTCTGATGTTAAACGCTGCCCTGGATTGAGCAGCTGTGTAAATCAGTTAAATAAATAAGGTATATTCATTTGATTCTTGTACTGTATCCACTTAGTTTCATATTCTCATTACTCTATACAGAGAGGTTCCATCTCCACCCTGTTTAGGTTTTACTTTTTGGGCTACCTCCAGTATAATAAACAATTGGAACTCCCAAAGAATTGTGTTTCAATCTCAGCTTTATAATGAACTCTTAACAAAATTAGTGAGAGAAATTGGCCCTCGAAATGCATTCAAATCACTTGGGATCGCTTGGTTTAGGAAACCATTTCATAGTGAGAAAGGTGAAAAAGAGACCTACAATCAAATCATGCTTACTGTTTCAGTAGTGAAGGCTACAGGATCAGGGGCAAAAGCAGAAAAAAAATGTCTGAACAATAAAATTTAAATTAAGGGAATTCTTTTTCCTGAGTTTTATTATCAGCAATAGCAATGGCAATCTGTGATTTACAGAGGCAGCATATTGCCCCCCAACAACCTGGGTCCTCTTTTTACCAACCTAAGAGGACTGAGGAAGACTGAATCATCCTTGAGCCACTCAGGATAAAGGGAATCAAACTTTCGATAATGTGAGCAGAATTAGCCTGCAATACTACATTCTAACTACTGCGCCACCATGGCTCTTAAATGCAACTACACGACTAATTGCCCAAACTATTACCTTTAAAAAAATTAGCAGCAAATCCTGCTTTATTGACTGTCCCATCAGAAACAAACTTCATCCACAGGGTATTTGAGGTAGATCTTATATCTTCAGGTTTATCATAGCCACAAAAATGGCCAATCAAAGGGCTGCTTTCACTCATTCCATCTCGGACTTCTAAATAATCATAGGCACAATTATCATGTCTCTCAATCTGCAAATATAAAATGACATTTGATCAAAATTACAATATGTATATTTCTGCTAACAATTTTTACTGTGTTACTTATTTTCTAATATAAATAATATCGTTTCTTGGGAAACTGTTCAAATCCTGAACAGGGCTTCTTTTAAAATTAAAATTAAATTGGAGAGAAATTAGGTTGGCAACCAAAAGTTGTTTAATTGAAATCCTGTGGCCAAAAAAGTATCAAGCTGAACTTAAGGTAGATGCAAAAATCAGAAATATGAAAAGTTATGAAGCTTGGAAATTCAACAGATAGTGTATTTTATTGAGCAACAAAAATAATGTCTAATATGATCACACATACAGTAGATTAGATTGGAATAATGTTTTGCCTTAGGCAAAACTTAGTATAGTAAAAAATCAATGTCTTTACACTTATTCTGGCCATTGGTCTATTGACGCTAGCAATTCTAAGTTTAAAGAGGGATATTAGCATCACAAGGCTTCCATTCTGTAACTGTGCTATTTAAGGGATATCTTGTATCTTTCTGAGGATACTTTCCCCTCAGTTCTTACTCCAGATGAGTTTCATGAGAATGGCTCTTTTGAAATTTTTTTAGAGTACAATTCTGCCCCTGAGTTGATTGATTATGAACAAGATTGCAGTTTGAATTCCTATTATTTTAACAGCTAAAGAAAGGAAAGAAAATAGATAATAGTAAAAAAAATCAGCACACCCTGAATAAAAACTTTATAAAACTTTTTTTTATTAAGTTTCATTTATATAATTCTATTTATCTATCTACCTATTTTCTAATCCCTATGACACAAAGGGAGTTTGAACAATGCTACGAGATATATTTTCCTGGTCCCGAATAAAATTACATTATATAAAAATTAAAATTAATACTAAGAAATTATTATAAAATCCAGTACAATTTTGATCCCTTTATAAAATATCAGCATGATGTAATTGTATGAAGAGAGTAATGAGAACAAAGAGATTTTAGAAAGAAATAAAAGTCCTATTTCTTAAATAGCCTTTTGGAATGGGATTAGTTACTTGCTAAAAGAAACTATTGTCAGTTTTTAAAACATTCCTATTCAAATAGTGAGATAATATAAAACCCTTTCATCTTTCTGCAATGGAACTGTCAGTGAAAGGAAATATGAACTACTGTATGGCTTTATGTTATACAGAGAATGCTTTGTGTCTATGTTGGCTTAATGAGGATTCCCTTAAATGTCACTGTCAGTTAGTCACAAGATGGTTTCCTCAGATCAGTTAAAAGGCTTTACCTCAAATGCCTGAAAGGTTAATCCAACATTGTAGTTCTCTGACACTGTTATTTTCCACACACATTCCTTCATTGGTCTATAGTCATCGGGATAATTAGGAGACTGGATCTGGCCTTCATTTTTATGTATCTCACCTCCACAAATTGCTAAGGAATACAAAAGAAGAAACGTAAGCTTACTTCCAGTATTTACATTTTTTAAAAAAAATGAGAAGTTACTGGTGTCTGGAGGACCCATTAAATTACAAATATGTGATTCCTTCATCAAGTGTTCTTGATAAAATGTATGTTTAAAACTGTATGCAGTCAGACTACTACTAGTAAAAACCAGTAGTACCAGTAGTAAACAAGTAGTAAAAATCACGGGTGGGTCCCTGCCCGCCCACTTGCCTCGGTTCTATGCCATCCTTTTTAGGCACATTTTTGATGCCGGATGCATTCACGGAAGGCACACACACAAGCAAAGTGCATGCACGGAAGGCCGGGCGCATGCACAGATGGTGCACGGGTGGTGAACCGGTGGTAACAAAATGTAAAACCCACCACTGTATGCAGTGCAATCCACCTACTGTATGTACTGTATATAATGCCTTCAGAAAATACTCAGACCCTCTTCACTTTTGTCAATTTTGTTATGCTGCAGCCTGATTCTACAGTTGTTGAAGTTCATTTTTTTTCTCACTAATTAAAACACTTAGTACCGCATTATGACATCATGAAAATAGAATTTTAGAAATGTCTGTAAATATATTAAAAAGAAAAAAACTAAAATATCACATTGACATAAGTATTTAGACTCTTTACTCAGTACTTTGTTGAAGCATATTTGGCAGCAATTACAGGTCTTTTTTGGGTATGACGTGACAAGATTTGCATACCTGGATTGGGGGATTTTTCTGCCCTTCTTCCTTGCAAACCCTCTCAAGCTCAAGTCGGGTTGAATGTCAACCACCAGTGTACAGCCATTTTCAGGTCCCTCCAGATATGTTCAATAGGGTTCAAGTCAGGGCTCTGGATGGATCACTCTAGGAAATTCACAGAGTTGTCCCTAAACCACTCCTATGTTGTCTTGGCTGTGTGTTTAGGATTATTGTCATGTTGGAAAGTGAACCTTTGGCCCAGTCCGAGGTCCTGAGCACTGTGGAACAGGCTTTCATCGTGAGTATCTCGGTACTTTGCTCCATTCAGCTTTCCCTCAACCCTGACCAATCTTCCAGTCCCTGCTGCTGAAAAAAAAAAACCAGAGCATGATGCTGCCACCACCATGCTTCACTGTTGGGATTATATTGGGCAGGGGATGAGCAGTGTCTGGTTTCCTCCAGACATAACATTTAGAATTGAGGACAAACAGTTCAATCTTGGTTTCATCAGACCAGAGAATCTTGTTCCTCACACTCTAAGAGTCTTTCAGGTGCTTTTTTGCAATTTCCAAGCAGGTTTTCATCAGAGGTGGGTTCCTATTGGTTCGGACTGGTTCACCCGAATAGGTAGTACTTGGTCTGCCATACCCCTGAACCGGTTTTCTCGGCAGCGCCATAGGCACCACCATCTTGTTTATGGCTTCTGCGCATGCACAGAAGCATTTTTTAGTACTTCACATGCTCGCATAGTGCGCATCAAGCATGCGCGCACAGCGTGTCCCTGAGCAAGCCGGAACCCACCCCTGGTTTTCATGTGTCTGGACTAAGGAGAGGCTTCCATCTAGCCATTCTGCCATAAAGCCCAGATTGGTGGAGGGCTGCAGTAATGGTTGTCCTTCTGGAACTCTATCCCATCCCCACACAGGATCTCTGGAGCTCAGTCAGAGTGACCATCAGGTTCTTGTTCACCTCTCTTACTAAGGCCCTTCTCCCCAATTGCTGGGATCTTGATTATGTCTTGGCTGTGTCAAACTTCTTCCATTTGAGAATTATGGAGGCCACTGTGCTCTTGGAAACCTTCAGTGCAGCAGAAATTTTACTGTAGCCTTTCCCAGATCTGTGCCTTGCAATAATCCTGTCTCTGAGCTCTGCAGGCAATTCCCTTGCCCTCATGGCTTTTGCTCTGCATTGTCAGCTATGAGGTCTTCTATAGAGAGGTGTGTGCCTTTCCAAATAATGTCCAACCAATTTAATTTTCCACAGATGGACTCCAATCAAGGTGTAGAAACATATTAGCAACAATAAAAAGAAATGGGGGGGGGGGACGGACGGACCGAAGCTAAATTTCAAGTGTTGTTGCAAAGGGTCAGGATACTTATGCCAATATAATATTTCAGTTTTTTCTTTTTAATAAATGTACAGATATTTCTAAAATTCTGTTTTCATTTTTGTCATTATGGGGTACTGACTGTAGATCAATGAGGAAAAAAAATGAATTTCAACAACTATAGAACCAGACTGCAGCACAACAAAGGTGAAGGGGGTTTGAATACTTTCTGAATGTAGTGTAAATTGCAGACTGGATAGGAGCCATAGGAAATGACCCAGCAGCTTCAGTGTCTGGGCCAATACCTGTTAATGTAGGGGTTTCCCTTTGTCGCCTATGAAAGGGAAATGCTTGGCATGCACAATGGGAAATCTGCAGTGCCTGGAAAATTCCCTTCTCATCAGAAAGGAAGCTCTAAGCATACAGAACCTGGTATGCTGCCACAGTTTGAAGGTTTGTTACTACTTAGAAGGGTCCAGAAATATCTTCTAAGAGATTAGAACACAAAATAACTTAAAGATACTTGAAAGTTGTATAAGGCAATAACTTTATCACCCAAGAATTCTCTGTACGAGGCATCTGGTAATGATTCAAGGGTAGAATGCAAGAAAACCCTTTGATATGGGTTGGACTTCACATGCATTCACATCCGTGACTCGACAAAAGTGCGAACGTCAAAAGCGCGCCAACAAAACCGTGGCACTAAAACCGCGATGTCAAAAGCGCGCCGACAACAGCGCGCCGACAACAGCGCGCCTACAGAAGCGCGATTTAAGTTAAGATAAGGTTTAGGGTTAGGTTTAGGGTTAGGTTTAGGGTTAGGTTTAGGGTTAGGGTTAGGTTTAGGGTTAGGTTTAGGGTTAGGGTTAGGTTTAGGGTTAGGTTTAGGGTTAGCGCGCTTCTGTCGGCGCG